TAAAATAACTGATTGAAATTAGCCCAGAATGAAAATATATATATCCAATACAGCACCATTCTGACCCTGAGTAATGTTCAGGGTACATTTGCACCAATTCATATCGTACACTGGTGATCTTTCTTTGGTATAAGAAATTAAAAGCAAGTTTCCAGTACAACTAATTAATTATTAGGAGGTGGTTACCTAAAGCAAAAGGTAGGCCAGATTAATTGTATGAAGGAAATATATAATATCAAAATAGTACATAATATTAAGATTACAATTACCATTCTCAGGAACATCGACTGACAAAGGTTCTGAAAACACAACAAATACCTAATTAAATGCAAACATCAAACCAATGAATCAAACCAGGAATGCCAAATAAACACATCTATATGTCTATAGTATTTTAGTGTGGCATGCTCTGATTTTGTTCCATATATTGGTAAGTTCTTCACTTTTTCAATCAAAATACCATACTAATCTAGCTATCACAATCTTTGGTTTGGTCCTTATGTCCAGATTCAAAATATTTTGTTTTCACATTTTAATGATTTCATTCATTTTTGCACTTTCTTGGTTTTTCGTAGCTGTAACTTAATTCTTGGACCTCATACTTGCATTATAATATTGTGAACATTTGACCAAAGTTGTTGATTTTCACTCAATACATTTTCTCATTTATTCAAAGCAGATTGAGCATAGAGTTGTTTCAGACTCATTAAAACACAATCAATCATGTATGAATGAATCCATAAACAATGATAAAGAGAAATGATGTGCAGTTCTGCATGTCTAAATCATGAAGCCAAGACAGTATATTAACTCCTTGCCTCTTTGCTTGAGGCTATATAAATTCACCCTCTTCCATGCTGAACAATATTCATTCAAATATTATTCCTGAACAATTCTCTACAAAAATAGAACTTTTGAAAAATTCAAGTATGAGTATATTTCATTCTGTATAATACATTTTACTTTTATCATTCAACCACCATCAAGTAACTATCAAACTAAATCTTATCATGCAGCACGTGTATTGCATTTCTGAAATTTTTAAAAATGGGATTACTTACATTTTTTTTAAAATACATTTCCTGGAAATTAATTCAAATATCTGCAAAAATAAGGTTGGGTAAGAGAGTCAAATATATGATTTGTTGCCCCAAGTTCAATAAGTTAACATTTGTTAAAAATTAAAATGCATGGTTTCAAGTCTATTCTAGTAAATTTACTGCTCCATTGTATAGTTGTGATCCGATCATTTTTCACTTTGTTGAAACTTTTAAGAAGATGTAATCAATAACCTACATGTATATCAAATTAAATCAATGGACTTTGATGCTCCCTTCGAAAAAAGAATAATAGCATTACAAAGATATATGTTGCTTACAAACCCCTTATAACAATGTACTTGCATTTTATTTAGAAATGTAATGCAATTTGTAAATTTTAATGTTCCTTTAACATGACAAACTGTTAAGGAAAAACACTGAATAATACCTTTTTGCATTTCACCATGTTCTACATGATAAACATGAGTACAGCATGCTTACAGATTTTCATAATGTACTACCAATACTTATATTTCCTGTTCAATGCTAACAATATAGCACTCTTTATGCCTGTTCAGATTACGATTTCTACTGGACACCCACCTTTAAATAATTTCAGAAATGCAATACATATCGATTTTAAGAAATCTCTTCTAAAACATGCATTCCTTAAAATAATGAATAAATATAATTATATACTTTTAAAATGGCAATTCAAAACTGCATGGCTGTATATATTTAAGAGGTATTCATAATTAGACATGCTATGCTGGAAGCCATGAAAGATCATTCTATTGGAATTAAAGTACACGTAACAGGGCCTTCATTAAAAATACTTTTGTTTGACGTGCGCCGACCCACATTTTTCAAGGTGGGAAGGTAGGTAGGTAGGCATTTTTTTAAAAATTATCTTACACATTGATAATCATCATAAAAATCACAGACTTTGAAATTGATCTTTTCATTATACAAAGGACTGCTAGACGGATTAAATATTTTTTACTATAAAAACTTGCAAACTAAATGCGTCATAAATGAGAAACCTTGCAACTTTAAAAATGATACTGACAATCTGTAATTTCTTCTGCAACCAAAGTACTATAAAAAAAATAAAACTGAAGTACTGAAAAGAATCATCAGGAAAGAGCAATTTTGACGGGTCAGTTGGAGCATATCAAACTAATCATTTTTTTTTAAAATACATGTAGTTGGCCCATGTACAATGTTTACCCGGTAGTATATACAGTTATGTTTATTCCCTTATCCTGTGGATTTCAGGCACAGAACATATTTTTCTTAATTATCCTACAATATGTATTCTGATGTATTGTGATGTCATATAAACAAATACATGTGTGTCAGTGTGCATTTGTAAACATGGATGATCGTAGTAGAATTCAAAATAATTAATTTCTTAAATTCATTGAAATAAAATACCATACTTTAAAAATTTTTTTTCCTCTTTGTCATTGTGCATCACTCATGATGTCATATAACTTTTTACTGTTGTTATGAAACAAAAGATAATCATCTGGAAAGCCAAAATAGGGAATGAAAACTATCAGAATTAGGTAAAAATGATTGGATACAAATTTAATCCAACTTTTCTACCTCTTCCCCAAAGGTAATCCTAAAGTACATTCACATGCATGTACCTGGTACATACATACTGTAGATGAACTTTTTTTTCTCATGGGATTAATTTACACTTTGTCTGTGGTCACAAATTTATGTGGAATTTTGTTACAGTTTACTTTAAGCGCATTTAAGATATACAGTTGCAATCCAAGACATCCATGTAATTTCCTAACCACGGATTGAACAAAAATTGTGATGCCGCAGAATTATGACCTTGTGGAAAAAAGTATGTTCACTGTATAGAAGTACTTATTTAAACCTACTTGTACAGTCCCTGAAACGTTCCACTTTCCCATTTTTCCGTTCGCTCACCGTTTTCACCGTGCGTTTACCGTTTGCTCTCCGTTCACAGTTTTGCATTCAGCGTTCACCATGCGCTCGCGTTCACCGTTCACAAAGCGTTCAGCGTTTGCTCTCCGTTCGTTCACTTTGCATTCACCTTGCATTCAGCGTTCACTTATCGTTCAGTCTTCAGTGTCATTCGGAACTCTAAAGTGAAAGGACTTATCTTTTTGTTAGTAAGGATTTACAGCATTTTTAATTTAATAATTAACATATTGTGTTTAAAGAATCATTCTCTCATGGGAAAAAAAATATCCACAATATTCTTATTATTTTTTTTATTTTTCTAACTTAGCTGTAGGGTAATTTACGCTGGAAAATAAATGTTGTTATTAGTATGTACCTATGTAAATGTAGAACGATGCTGAAAAATTAAATTTAAATACGGGCAATATTTAGATACTTATAGCACTGCAACATTTTGTTGTTATGTTAAAGACGACAAATCGTTAATGGACAGATACATGTAATTATCAAAGTCAATTAATTTACAAACTGCATCAAAATTACGAAAATATTTATATCGAACAAGTTTTTCTTTTCAATTACTACAGAAATACATGATAGAACTAGTTCTGAACATTATACATAGTACTGCGGATATCCTGTTAATTAAATATCTTTGGAGCGAATTGAATTGATAGTGTGTTTTCTAATTAACATTTAAAAAGAAGTTAATTTGTTTGTAGCACAAAAACTGCAGTCTAAAATCAACATGCATCGAAAAAAGTCATTAAACAATAGTAGTTCAAAATACATGTATACATGTGTCGGTGATGGTATTTTAAATTGGATGAGAGTATGTTACAAATTCAAGTGTTAATGCCCAATGTATTTTATTTATTTATTTTTTTTTTAGAAATGTTGGAATAAAATCTAGGAATGATAAAAAAAATGTTAAAACTTGTTGGATATACTAGCACATCGTCTTCGGTCTGACGAAACTTTCACAACTGCACAGTATCGAATGATTTTGAATGACAGGACAAGCAAGTGGACACCGTGTGAACTTGAAGCAGGGAAATTAAAAGAAAAACAAGTATGACTATCAAACAAATGGATTTGTTGATTTAAAAAAAGTTACTTTCATTGCCCGATAATTTAGAAGAAAATTTAGATTTTTTGTAATTTTTTTTTCATTATTTTACACAGAATCGCCTTGGCAAGGAAATATATGAATGGATGTTTTAACTGTTGTAATTCATTCTATAAGTCAGAAGTTTTCTCTTATTTGTAATGGTTATTTATATCAAATAAGAAAAGACATGTTTATTTTCCGACTAAAATCATTTTATCTTTTATACTATAACGTTTGGTAACAATTACAATATTTCACAGCGATAAAAATCGTGTGATTAAAAAATTGAATTTAAACATCATACAAGAAAGATAAAGTGCATGTATCGTCTTTCTTAAGAAAATTTTGTAGCATTTATTTATTTAATCATTGATTTGTTTATTAGAATACAACAGAATGGTTTCAATGCAAGGAAAAGATCAGAAGCATTCTGAATAAATCGTTCATCTTGCGTTCACCGTTTGTTCACCGTTCACTTTGCGTTCGCGTTTGCGCTCCGTTCACATTCTGTGTTCGCTCACCGTTCACACATCATTCACCAGTTTCAGGGACTGTATTTATCTTGTACAGAAGGAATAAACACAATGTTTGTGAACCATATAGTTATGTCTTAATCTGAACTGGGCACTAAACCAACTATGAAATAAGTTACCGCTAAACTCCTCCAGTGGTATAATATGTTCGTTATAACATAATGAATTTGAAAGTATTTAGTATGGATGCTTAGAAATGCATGATATACAACAGACCAATCCTCATCATATACTGCAATATTAAAGAAGAAAAACCTCCACTCTACCCAACACAACAATTATCAGGCAGCATATTAAATAGCACAGAGCTAACCACAACAACAGGGGGCGCCATGCAAGCCCCAGGTTGACTGACAGGTTTCTGGGTACCTGCTCGACTCCGCCTCCCTATTTCACCACCTCCGCTATCATGCCGACTATGGCCCAGGCTGTGGAGGTTTAGTTTTTCGGTTAAGCCATGGAGTTTTTCAGCTAATCCTGAATGATGCCTATCTTTTTCAACCAGAATTTCAGTCCCCAAATGTGTAATGGGAGCACACACAGTCTGGGAGGCGGTCACGGCCGCCACATCCTTGAGATGTAGATCCTTACCAACAGTTTGCGGCGCCAGCACCGCTTGAGAAGGCTTCTTCATGAAGGAGTAGAAGAGGTGTTTGCATAGATCCTCTGGTAGTTGAGCATCCAAATAAGTCTCCATAAATAACACAAAACAGTCATAGCCAATGGGCTGTAAACACAAAGATAAACTTAAACCAAGTCATGTAAGTCTGTGTCAAAGATTTATATAATGTCACAGTTAATGTGTGATAATGTACTTCGAGACAGAATTGAAAGACATACCTCCTCTGGGTTATACTTTGACAAGCAGCCATCGCCGTTAAACTCTCCTAAGACATCTTTAAGTTTCTTTGAGGAATCTGGATGGAGAAAAAAAATTATTTTACATTGTTTTGTTATCAGTATCTTCTATTGCCTACTATATCAGATGTACTGTAACAAAAGGCTTTATGTTGCAGTGTCATAACGGTTTATCGTACAGATTCTGAAGCCTTTCATACACCCAAATTACAGGTAACTCTTGATGGCTCGAACTTCGATCTCTCGAAGTTCTTGATCGCTCGAAGTGAATCTTCGGTCCCGAATTTTTCCACTTTATAACTAAGCAAATTTACTCTTGATTTCTCGAACTCTTGATCTCTCGAAACCCTTGATCCCTCGAAGTCAAAATGCAATCCCGCTATGCATATTCTATTAGAATTTACCCTTGATACCTCGAAGTGGCTACCTGTATACAAGGTTATATAATTAGCACCTTTACCTGGACTTTTAAATAGTCCCAGGCAGAAGACGCGGGTCTCGGGGAACGGGATGTTTATTCAGGTGACACTTATGCTGCAAGGTGATAATTAATCATATTTTGCCTATATGCTATTAAAATAATTATCATCGACTGTCTTACGATAATTAATTTAGAGACACAGTGTCATTGAAAAGTAGTAACTGTAATTGATTAAAAGACAAAACACTAATTTAATTTTTATTTCGAGTGCAGTGTCAAAGTTTTAACGAAATATGAAAAAAGCAGAAACAGCCTCAATGTCAATATGACGACTATTTTAGGACAAATACTTACAAAACTGCGTTCAATGATCGATTTTGGAATAGTATGTACGACACTGTAAAATATTTTCATGTAACGAATGCATAGTATGATGTCCGTATTATGAAGAATAAATAAATATACATGAAATGACGATATACATTTTTTGCTTTACTCAGTTTGATGAAATATTTATCTGGATTACGAAAAAATATCGTTGTTCTATAAAAACCACGTGTAAAAGGTTAGCACTGCATGAAAATCATTACATCCGGTAAGACTAATTTTAAAACCTGTCAACAAACCCGGAAAATTCCAGACTCTTGAAAATTCGAACTCTTGATCTCTTGAAGTTTTTCCTTGGTCCCGGGGACTTCGAGGTATCTCGAGTTACCTGTATATCTTTTTCAGTCCCAGGTCAGGGGCCCGTTTTACGAAAGAACTTACGACTAAGACCAAAATTTAATTCTGCTCATGACTTTCTAATTTACACTAAATTTAAAATAGTTTTAATCTTTTTAAAAGGAATGTTGAAAGATATTTTAACATTAGCAAATTTGAACAGAATCATTAATTTTGCAAAATTTTACAATGAACTAAAGTTTTTGGTCTTAGTCGTAAGTTCTTTTGTAAAACGGGGCCCAGGAGCTTAAAACACCAACTGCTTGATACTCAAAGCAATCAATTTATAGGGCTCACAGTGGGTGTTACCAGTCAACAGGGGATGTTTACTCCTCCTAGGCACCTGATCCCACCTCTGTAATTTCCAGGAGTCCATGTTTTATGCCCTCTTCACAGATTTGTAGTGTTTCTAGACCTTTATGAGATTGATCACTGTTTGTTATCTTCACTTTTTTAAATTTTATATGAGATAGCAAGTCATTTTTGCTAAAACACTTGCCATGAGAAAGTAGATAAAAATCAGAATCCTTGATCTGTTAACTGAAGGAATTTTTCCAATTTTCATTCAAAGTAGAATCTGATGTATAATTTTCCTTGATAGTATATACAAATAGTGATTTCAGGAAAACAATGAAGGTTGAAAATTATATATTTGTACTGGGCAGAATAAGGACCAATCAAATACAGTCTAAGAGCAGACAAGTTCAATTTAATAAATCCAAATCAATATGACTCAAAGTCATAAACTTTTGGAATACACAACTGTAAAGTCTCAAATGACTATAAATACAAATTACCAAAATGCTTCTATATTGTGTTTACCTGTAAAATTTTAGGGAGGACACATAAAACATTTGGTTAGGTCAGCCAAATCTGACAAGATTCAAACATTAATAGCTAGCCACTGAGGGTGATCTCCCCTTATTCCCTGCACTATGAAAACTTCTCCATACACAATGATACACAAATAACGTTGTAGACATACAAGAGAGAAATGATCCTATACTACAACATACACAATAACACTGAAGTCATACAAGAGAGAAATGATCCTATACTACAACATACACAATAACACTGAAGTCATACAAGAGAGAAATGATCCTATACTACAACATACACAATCATACACAATAACACTGAAGTCATACAAGAGAGAAATGATCCTATACTACAACATACACAATCATACACAATAACACTGTAGACATACAAGACAGAAATGTTTAGGATGACTACATACCCTGTATTACCATCCTAACTCACCTAAATCAATCCACTTATTAAACATATACTTCCATATATCTGTACCAAGTAATCGAAAATCCATTCCTATCCAATGTAGTATATTACTACATAATGAATGCTTTTTGGTGCACGTAAAACATGAGGCATTGACACAGTATTTCATGTGAACTGTTTACTAGAGCTTAACATCGTACTTTAGAATTACATCTAAGGAGCACTTGAAACCATACACAAGTAACATCCCTGCATTTCTCAAGTGTCAAGTTATCTTCCTTAATATGTCCTTAAGAAGATGTGATGTCAGAAGATGTGCACGCAAAAAAATTATACATAAAGATAAATAAAACTTTATATATATACTATATGAAGTGCTTAAAAAACAAGAATTTTTTTCTGAGTCTTTTCCTTGTTTGTGTTTCCGGAAATTCAGTGACAAATTTCCTGTCACTCGTCAAGACTCCATGTTTCCTAATCAATGGGTGCTCTCGACTACTTCTGTCTTTCCAAACCCATTCAGCATTCCACTGACTTAACTCTTATATGTTAAGGAGCTTAAAAATTCTATAAGATATGATGGATCATTGTAACATTAAAGTCGCATGAAAAAAAGATGTCAACTACAAATACTTTCCTTTACAGTAGTTTTGAGCTGTAAACTGTCCCCCATCTAAAAATGTTAGCTACTTAAAACATATTTTCTTAAATCCAAAATAACATAATTATCCTACCTTAGGTCAAAAATTGGAAACATTTTCTTTATTCAGCATGATGGCAATTGTGCCTATGTATATAAGGAAACATCTGACTCAATGTCAAAAAATTATTTTCCTCATTACTTTTCATTAGCACCAATGCTGTGAGAGTGAAAATTTCAAACTGTTGAAAAAAACCCTTTACTATTCCTAAACCTTGATATAGTGCTACATCTATAACCTAAACATCTAGGATATGTAGTCCTTCAGAGCTTACATGTCACAAAGTAGTATAGGACAACACTGGCTTTCTGGTGCAAATTTAATTGTTATAAATGGTGAGTCATATTTTCACTTTGATAATCCTTAGTACCATTCATTCTTTGCTTAGTTTATTTAATATGGTATGTTTTCAAAATTGAATGAAATATGAAGAGAAAATGTCAATATGTAAAATAGAAACAAAGATTAAATTGAATAATTTAATTTTGGTTGTAACACGTCATTTGATTGGATAAAAAAATTAGAACATAGCGTATAACCTGGGTTGCCTATGTCACAATGACTTACGTCAAAAACATATCAATCCGATTGACGTTACATTTAAAATACGTACAATCTGCAGGCATTTTGAAGGAGAAATTGTCTAACTTTTTACACTTACTTATGGAAAATTAATTTTTTCTGCCTGGTATAAATTTACCCTATATGTATGTGATTACAAACTTTCCGTGGAAAGTCCCAGTGTGCTTAAAGCACATTTTATTAACATTTTGTGGCAACCTAAGAAACCTGTGTAATTTAAATCAAAAGGAATGAATTTAATAGTTACCCAAGGTATACTGTATAACCTGGGTTGGAATAGTTTATGCTTTTTTATAAACCGCTTCGCGATCTATATAGTTTAAACTGCCCCAACCCAGGTTATACCAGTATAACTTGGGTAGCTATTAAATTCATTCCTTCATTAAAACAAGAGGCCCATGGGCCACAACGCTCACCTGAGTCAATTTGGCCCTGCTGTTCTTTGTCAGCAGATTTCTTCTTCTATATATTCATATGTAAAGCTTTGATTGACTGTTCTAGGCATAACCTATCCCTAGTTGCCATATTTTGAATGAAATTGAATCTAAACCTTCTGAGGATGCTTCTATATTCATATAAATAATCATGGTTTTGCTGTTCTTGAAACAGAATTTTAAAGATGTCTGCCATCCTACTCTGGGGGGTAGGGGGGGGGGGGGGGGGTCATGATTTGAACAAACTTGAATCTACACTACCTGAGGATGCTTCCATATCAATATGACTAATTATGGCTTTGTTGATCGTGAGAAGAAGATTTTTTAAGATATTTCTTTTATATATATATATATATATATATATATATATATATATATATATATATATATTCTTTTGTTAAACTTTGATCCCCCATTGTGGCCCCAACCTACTACTAGAGGATGCTCTGAACAAACTTGAATCTACAATACTAATGGGGATGCTTCAATATCAAAATGACTAATCATGGCTTTCCTGTTCTTGAAAAGATTTTTAAAGAATTCTCCTATATCTTCCTATGTAAAACTTTGATCCCCCATTGTGGCCCCACCCTACCCCCAGGGGTCATGATTTGAACAAACTTGAATCTTCATTTCCTGAGGATGATTCCATATCAATATGACTAATTGTGGCTTTGTTGTTCTTGAGAAGAAGATTTTTAAAGAATTTTTCTATATATTCCTATGTAAAACTTTGATCCCCAATTGTGGCCCCACCCTACCCCCGGGGTCATGATTTGAACAAACTTGATTCTACACTACCTGAGCATGATTCCATATCAATACGACTAATTGTGGCTTTATTGTTCTTGAGAAGAAGATTTTTAAAGAATTTTGCTATATATTCCTATGTAAAACTTTGATCCCTCATTGTGGCCCCACCCTACCCCCGGGGTCATGATTTGAACAAACTTGAATCTACACTATGTAATGAAGGTTTCCATAAGTTTCAACTCTTCTGGCCCAATGGTTCTGGAGAAGAGGATTTTCAAGAGAAGACACCAAATTTTCACCAATTCTTAATTATCTCCCCTTGGAAGAGGGTGTGGCCCTTCATTTGAACAAACTTGATCCCCCTTCACCCAAGGATGCTTTGTGGAAAGTTTGGTTGAAATTGGCCCAGTGGTTCTGGAGAAGAAGTCGAAAATGTGAAAAGTTTACAGACGGACAGACAGATGGACGGACGGACAGACTACGGACAAAATGTGATCAGAAAAGCTCACTTGAGCTTTCAGCTCAGGTGATTAAAAAAAACAGAGGAAAACCAATGGGTGTCTCTCCAGAGTTCAGAGGTGAGCTCAACCTCAGAAGCCGATATCAAAACAGAGATTCTCTGGTGAAAAGAATGCAAAGGCTTACAGATTTAAAAGGCCAAAACTAACCAAAATTAAAGAAATCATTTCAAATAAATGCAATTTCATTTTGAAGATAAGTAATTGCTAGCAAAGGTTTGGAGTTTAGGGTTATTGTCCAGAAGGTAGTGTTTGAGTTTAGTGGTGAGTGCTCAAAATGTCACTGGCCTCTTGAGGGCCCCCTATACACTAGAAAAGTATAAGTTGTTTTGGACTTTGAGAAAATTTTAAAGGTGAAAATATTGAGCTGATCTTTTCATTTTCAACAATGTGTACCTCAGCCATTCTGTCCCAGGAAAAATGTTCTCAGACTTTAACAAAGTAATGATGAACATTAATCACTTAGTACATGCACTTACAGAGCACAAAAGTGTCAAGAAATGGAACTCTTCAGTGTATAGAGGGACCCTTAAACTAAAATACTCTACAAGTTTCAACAACTACAAATAAAATTTAAAATCTGTGTTCTAGTTCAAATGATGGCTTGTTATAAGATTCTTCTTGTAGTAGTTTAGAGAAAACAGTAACTAAATCATTTAAGTAATGTGGTCCCTGCTTGCTTCTTCTACCCTAGCCGTATACTCAAACAAAAACAACAAACTGTTTAACAAATTCCTGGAGGACATCAGCTACCATGTATGCATGATTATACATGTGCATCTTGATTCAAAATAGTCTCAAACAGGGCATAACCCTGCCGACTTCGGCTAACCATTAGGGACGAGATGAGAAAATTAATGACTCACAGTAATCCTTATCATGGCAGCTTAAACACCACTAACTCAGCAAATTTATTTGTACAGTTTTATACACAGATGGATCACAATTTTAATCCCTTCCATTAAAAACAAGGATCCATAAGAAAACCTTTCTAGCAAATTGCTCAGTGGTAAAACAAAAAAATCAATTACACAAATGATCAGGGCTGAATAAATTTAGAAACTTTTTCCCCATTTACGAAGAAGTTGTAGATTTAGTAAACAACAAAAACCTGCTTAAACCTTTTACATCCATGGGATTAATAGACATGTATAGCATCAAACTGGTTAACCAGGCTATAACCATATGCCCAATGATGGTAATTGCTATGTACACACAATGGGAAAAAAAGGTAACATGAAGATATATGAGAATAAATACCCCTTCATCTTAGCCACTGATTGCTATAAATAACAAGGACTTTCCTCAACCACTGGACCATATTTGACGGTCAAACTACACTGAAATCAAGGTCACTTCTCCCTGACCTTCAGATTCTATGATGGACTACAATCTACATTTATACATAAATGAATCCAATGCCAGGTTCCTTTAGTGTTACCAAGGCTACACTACAGTCATACCAAATTAAAATAAAATAAAGGTGAAAAGACAAGAGAAATGTAAACCCTGGTTTTAGTAGAATAATGATCTTATAAACTTGATTAATGTGACTAACTCAACATTCCCAGTGAATCTGAATTAGATAACCAGTGGAATGAAGCAACCTAAAAGAGCTCTTTTCTAGATATCTCTTTAAAAAAAACTTATGAAAAATTAAAAACACTTGACTGTACTTGACACAGATGTCTTGTAGACAGAAAACTATATTCCTTCAATTCTAAATGTTTAAAAACTCCTGTGTTTCACAGTGCTTATCCAGACAGAGAAAGAGGTATACTTCCATAGTTGGTGTATGGCAATTACCAAGACAGACAGATGGACAGCTATAGCTGGTTCATACAGACAGACACACTTACATGAGGTGTACACCTGTAGTTTATACACCTATAACTGGTTCATACAGACAGACACACTTACATGAGGTATACACTTGTAGTCTATACACCTATAGCTGATTCACACAGACACACTTACATGAGGTATACACTTGTAGTTTATACACCTATAACTGGTTCACACAGACACACTTACATGAGGTGTACACCTGTAGTTTATACACCTATAGCTGGTTCACACAGACACACTTACATGAGGTGTACACCTGTAGTTTATACACCTATAGCTGGTTCACACAGACACACTTACATGAGGTGTACACCTGTAGTCTATACACCTATAGCTGGTTCACACAGACACACTTACATGAGGTGTACACCTGCAATCTATACACCTATAGCTGGTTCATACAGACAGACACACACTTACATGAGGTATACACCTGTAGTCTATACACCTATAGCTGGTTCACACAGACACACTAACATGAGGTGTACACCTGCAGTCTATACACCTATAGCTGGTTCATACAGACAGACACACACTTACATGAGGTATACACCTGTAGTCTATACACCTATAGCTGGATCACAAAGACAGACACACTAACATGAGGTGCACACCTGCAGTCTATACATCTATAGCTGGTTCAAACAGACAGACACACTTACATGAGGAATACATCTGTAGTCTATACACCTATAGCTGGTTCATACAGACAGACACACTTACATGAGGAATACACCTGGATTCTATACACCTATAGCTGGTTCACACAGACACACACACTTACATGAGGTATACTCCTGCAATTGGTGGAACTCTTCTGCACTGATCTTTTTCATATAGACAGACACACTTACATGAGGTATACACCTGAATTCTATACACCTATAGCTGGTTTATACAGACAGACATACTTACATGAGGTATACACCTGTAGTCTATACACCTATAGCTGGTTCATACAGACAGACACACTTACATGAGGAATACACCTGGATTCTATACACCTATAGCTGGTTCACACAGACACACACACTTACATGAGGTATACACCTGTAGTCTATACACCTATAGCTGGTTCACACAGACACACACACTTACATGAGGTATACTCCTGCAGTTGGTGGAACTCTTCTGCACTGATCTTTTTCCAGTCCATATCTGCCATTTTTATGCTGACTGCAGTAAGTTTGGTATCATTGTGAGCTTTACATCCACAAATCAAGTTCTGAAATAGAAATCTTTAATATTTGCTTGGATTTAGGATAATGTATTCTACTCTATACCACTAACCTGACAACGGTTCATAGGAAACCCTAATTAATTTTCTGCATAAAAAATACAGAAAAGATTGAACTGAAAGAGCCCAAAATTCTCTGTGGACCAGACAGCTGATAATTTGATTCTACTTTGTTCACATTATGGTAAGTAAATATGTGCAGGCAAATTCCTTAAATCAGACAATTTACCAAATAATTTGTACATCATGCACATGACTGCATCACTTATATGTTCAATGCTTACATGATGTCCAGATTAAATATGGATCTTTGTTACCATGTGCATACAAATGTAAAAAATAAAATAACAAGGGAGATGAAAAGAATGTAAACTCATAAGAAAAAAACCTCCCCCACAATTAATACAGTATAATGGCAATCTGATATACAATACTGTCATTCTCTTTCCATTGAAAGTAGTCCTGTCGACAAATCTTTGGTCTGTATAGATAGTTTTTGTATGACATATTTTTCCTTTGAATTATTTCCCTTGCCTGCCATCTTGAAGGTCAGACTAGTGAATTTTCCTCTTTGAGCAACCAAATTTAAACATGTATGACTGAAATATAAGGGCAAAAATTTTTGAAATACTAAAATTATGAATTAAAGGAAGCTTTTGTTAACATATACTCATAAGAAAAATCGTGTTATATGCGCCTCATTGCTCAGTATGACAAGTCTAAATTGGTTGAATAATGAAGGAATCTGGGCTTGTTGACCTCCAAAATGGCAACCAATGGGAAATAACTCTTGCTAAAATCGTGTCTATCAAAAATTATCTATGTGGGGATATAATATACAATAAGTAAACAGGGATATAATATACAATCAGGACACAGGGATACATAAATTATTATACAATCAGTTCACAGGGATATATTGCACAAACAGGACACAGGAATGTAATATACTATCAGTTCACAGGGATATAATATACAATAAGTACACAGGGATATAATATACAGTCAGTACACAGGGATATAATATATAATCAGGACACAGGGATTTATAATATACAAACAGGACACAGGGATATAATATACAAACAGGACACAGGAATGTAATATACTATCAGTTCACAGGGATATAATATACAATCAGGACACAGGGATATAATATACAGTCAGTACACAGGGATATAATATACAATCAGGACACAGGGATATAATATACTATCAGGATACAGGGATATAATATACAATCAGGACACAGGGATATACAATCAGGACACAGGGATATAATGTACAATCAGGACACAGGGATATAATATACAGTCAGGACACAGGGATACATAAATTATTATACAATCAGTTCACAGGGATATATTACACAAACGTACAGGACACAGGAATGTAATATACTATCAGTTCACAGGGATATAATATACAATAAGTACACAGGGATATAATATACAGTCAGTACACAGGGATATAATATATAATCAGGACACAGGGATTTATAATATACAAACAGGACACAGGGATATAATATACAAACAGGACACAGGAATGTAATATACTATCAGTTCACAGGGATATAATATACAATCAGGACACAGGGATATAATATACAGTCAGTACACAGGGATATAATATACAATCAGGACACAGGGATATAATATACTATCAGGATACAGGGATATAATATACAATCAGGACACAGGGATATACAATCAGGACACAGGGATATAATGTACAATCAGGACACAGGGATATAATATACAGTCAGGACACAGGAATATAATATATAATCAGTTCACAGGGATATAATATACAATCAGGACACAGGGATATAATATAATATCAGATCACAGGGATATAATATACTATCAGGACACAGGGATATAATATATAATCAGTTCACAGGGATATAATATACAATCAGGACACAAGGATATAATATACAATCAGGATACAGGGATATAATGTATAATCAGGACACAGGGATATAATATAAAATCAGGACACAGGGATATAATATACTATCAGGACACAGGGATATAATATACTATCAGGACACAGCAGTGATTTTTGTGCAATTTTTAAAAAGGGCACTGGGCCTTTACAATTGGGAAAAATCATCGACATTTGTGTCAAATTGGGAAAACTCAATGAAATTTTAATTGACCTTAATTAAATGGTAAAATAAAATATGTAATTAAATTATTTATACTTCATTTATTCAATTTACTTTTTTTATCTTTGAAAGTTGTCAATAATTGTGACCGTCCTATATATTTATTTCATTTTTTTTTTTTTGGGCCATAATAGTGGACATAAGAGAAAATCCTTCTCGTAATAGCCATTGAAGATGGGATAATCTGACATGATTAATCACAAATAATTTCTCTGCATTACTACTTGCATCTGCCAGGTGTAGAAACAGTTGATTTTTGTTGAATCAGGGATGCATGTTGTAGAACTGCTACTAGTTTGATTTACAAATAAAGGTATGTTTCTTCAGTTCACATGCATCTTTCTTACAATGTATTTACACAAAACATGGGTTTCTACGTCTTGTAAACATGGTAAATGCACAAAATAATGTGCTATTCTTCACCATTAATTTAAGAGACTGAATGACCGAGAACAATAGCGTTCCGTTTTAGATAAGTCGTACGTAAAAATTTCAATATAACAAAAACAACAGCAGATTTATTTTGGGAAAAATGCGACTGAAATTGGGAAAAAAATTGGTAATTTTTGAGAGGGGAAAGGGCCGATATTCGGACCTAAATTGGGTGTAGAAAAATCACTGCACAGGAATGTAATATACTATCAGGACACAGGGATATAATATACATCAGGACACAGGGATATAATACACAAACAGGACTCAGGGATAAAATATACAATCAGGACACAGGATATAATATACTACTAGTATCAGTTCACAGGGATATAATATACAATCAGGACATAGGGATATAATATTCAATCAGGACACAGGGATATAATAAACAATCAGTACACAAGGATATAATATACAATCAGGACACAGGGATATAATATATTATTATACCTCTACTGTTATTACTCTATATAAAATTAGTACCATAAAACTGTCTATTTCCTTAAGAAGATACTATTTCCCTCATCTGAGGACTACTCCCTGAAAAGTCGGAGCTACTCCCTGGGACTACTCCCTCATGAATATTTATTAATAATTTTAACCAATTAAAAATATCAGTGGGCGGAGCGTTCAAGGAATCTCGAGTCTGTGACGTAATGTTATTAGCAATGTAACTATGACGTCAAAACATTTCGACATGCAATGTCAAAATCATACTGGAATTCTCACAAAATGAAGACAACGATAATCCTTCGAAGTGTCAGTGAAATTATTTTATATTTTTTAATAATTTCATTTTCCTCGGTATTGATGCATTAGTTTTCTTACAACATTTTTAATCACATGCATTTGTGAATATTTAAATGCCTCTATATTGTTTTAAAAAAAGTCCGAGTCTCTAGTTTAATAAATCTCCCATGATTGTTTCGGTATAATAAAACAGTTATGGAATGGGTACTCGGGAAATGTCAAATTCGCTGCCTCGGGAAATAGTTTCCTCCCTTGGGGAACCATAAATTTGCTATTTCCCTCATACCCATTCCATAACTGTATACTATCAGGACACAGGGATATAATATACAATCAGGACACAGGGATATAATATAATATCAGAACACAGGGATATAATATACAATCAGGACACAAGGATATAATATACAATCAGTTCACAGGGATATAATATACAATCAGGACACAAGGATATAATATACAATCAGGATACAGGGATATAATATACAATCAGGACACAGGGATATAATATACAATCAGGACACAGGGATATAATATACAATCAGTACACAGGGATATAATATACAATCAGGACACAGGGATATAATATACTATCAGGATACAGGGATATAATATACAATCAGGACACAGGGATATAATATACTATCAGAACACAGGGATATAATATACAAGAGGCCCATGGGCCTTGAATCGCTCTTCTGATAAACTGTACAACCTATCACTTCTATTTGAAGCCTCGAAGTATCCTGTATATTTACATGAACCCTTGAAATTCCAATTCACACTCTGAGAACCCAAGATGATTCTAAGCCAGTTAGTACCTGAGAGTTGGTCATGGTGACCTACTTATCACTTGTCATTCTCTGAGGACCCATCAACTAAGTTTGATGATTCTAAGCCAATTTAATACCTGAAGTATTTTATAAAATTATAATCATAAAATTTTATAAGTAAGTCAAAGTGACCTACTTTTCAATTGTTTTACTCCAAGGACCCAAGATGCATCAACTGACAAAGTTTGATGATTCTAAGCCAATTAGTACCTGTAATATTTAATTAAAGCCATAAATTTTCAAAAGTAGGTCACCGTGACCTACTTTTCAGTTGCTGTACTCCGAGGACCAAAGATACATCGACTGACAAAGTTTGATGATTCTAGCCAATAAGTACCCAAAATATTTAATTACAGCCATAAATTTTCAAAAGGAGGTCACAATGACCTACTTTTCAGTCAACCTACTCCGGGGACCAAAGATGCATCAACTGACAAATTTTGACGATTCTAAGCCAAATAATTCCTGAAAATATTAAATACAGCCATAAAACTTCAAAAGTAGGTCACCGTGACCTACTTTTCAGTTGTTGTACTCCAAGGACCCAAGACGCATCAACTGACAAAGTTTAATGATTCTAAGCCAATTAGTACCCGAAATATTTGATTAAAGCCATAAATTTTCAAAAGTAGGTCACGGTGACCTACTTTCAGTTGTTGTACTCCGAGGACCCATGACGCATAAACTGACAAAGTTTTATGATTCTAAGCCAATTAGTACCCGAAATATTTTATTAAAGCCATAAATTTTCCGAAAGTAGGTCACGGTGACCTACTTTTTAGTCGACCTACTCC